CTCCTTTGCGTGCCAATTTTATCGTGTCGAAAATATGGCAATATGGGTGTCCTTTCCTACCAAAATTGGTATCCCGGACGCGTTGACGCAGTCCATTTTGTCGTCGGAGGTCATCCGGAGGAGTTCGCATTTTCATCTGTCCTCTGGGCTTAATTAAAATCCGATTTAGTGCAATTTTGTGAATTTTGTGCATTTGGTGTGTGTATGTGACGAAAAAGTTATGACGATATTTTCCTAAGGCTTGAAGTCCTATTAGGAACTTTTCCCTTGAGTCTTCACAAAATAGCCCATAACCGCTCGTTCATAAAACGATGGTCTTGTGCCATAAATGTTAGACATCAAAGAAAAATAAGAAGTGGCTAGAATTTCTAAAAAGGTGGGTCTCAATTCTAGTTTTCTAAGATGGTCAATAGGAACTCCTAGAGCTAGATCCTAAGACCCTAAGGAAAAAGAAATGACCTCAAAAATGAGGTCAACAGGGACGTGGCTGGAAAGAGGAGAACTGCAGGGAAGAACAACAACTGCGGCTGGGAAAGTGGCGTGGCAGCGAAGCGAGGGATGCGAGGAAGAGAATGTCGAGGATAAATACTTCATCAAGAACGAGCTACAGCGGAACACTACTTGACCCTAGGATGGTCACCGCCTTTGAATACAACCTTTGAAGGGAGAAACCGAGATGCCGACGACTGTCTTGAACAAAAGCACGACTAAACTCAAAGTCTAAGCACATGAATCAAATTTATAAGGCCTAGGTAATTAGGATTGGGCCCAATGTTAAAAGGAGGTGCCAAATCCACGTAAGGAATGTTGGCCAGCTCTCAGAATCCTGGTAAATCGGTCAAAGCCGCCCAAGTTTCAGCGTGACCATTCCAAACGCGGAAGCGGTCTCGGGACTATAGCAAAGGTCGTGAGACTGTAGCGGCGCTATAGGATCGCAGAAAGGGTCTCATGCGGGAAAGCTCCCATATCAGAGAGTGCTAGAGAAAGAGGGGTTGAGGGTTTTCTTGGGCTTATGAGTTCATGATTTAGGGACCCATTCGTGTGCAAGAGGGATGTTTGGTTTACTTAGGGGTTGAGGGTTTTCTTAGGAGTGCTGTTTCACTTAGGCCATCTCAAGAGGTGGTCTGGTATGTGTTTGGCATTTATGGTCTGTTTGGGGCAGCTGTAGCTTATCCAGCTTCTGCTGATAAGCAGCTGATTCTAATAATCTGCTGATGAGCAGCTGATCTGGATAAGCTGTTCGTCTGTTTGGTTTGTGCGTCTGGAAAACAGCTGATTCTGGATAAATGACCATTTTGCCCCTGTTCTGGATAAACTGTTTAGTTGTTTGGTTTGTGCGTTTTGTAAACAGCTTACCTGCAATTTTTTTTAATTGAATGAATGACAAAAGTAACATTTCAATGCACCTTCAAGGAGATTTGACAAAAGTAACATGTTTAGCTTCTCTCCTATTCCCTTTCCTTTTCTATGATTCTTCTACTTTACTCATTGCCTATTCTATGCCCTTCCTTTTCTATTTTTTTCTTATTATGATCATTAGTTATTCTATTTACTAATCCTTATTATAAATATGTTGTTCATAGTGTTAAGGTTTTTTTATTGATCCTTATTTTAATTCCGAGAAGAAGTGTGTTCAAAATTCGATAAAATATGAATGCATTCAAAATACATTAAAAATGAAATAACTCTCG